AAAATTATAATTTACACTTTCTAAAATTTTTGTTTGTGTTTCTAATTCAAGTGTTTTAAGTTCAGCTGATTTAATACCTGATTCTAATGTATCTTTTCGTTCTTCTGCCTAGATAAATTAAATAGATAAATATTTCATATGATCAATAAAAGAAAAACTTAAAACAAACTTTTTTTCGAATTTCATCATCTAATCGATGTAATTCAGCTTCTTTAAGTAAATGCTGTTGATGAAGCATTTTACGACGAGCTACATCCAATAATTGCATTTCACGTACCTAATATATTTCAATAGAAGAAAAATCGTATTAAGAAAATATCTTACTTTGATTTCTTGATTAAGCATTTGAAGTCTATTCAAAAGAAAAAGCTATTAGTGTCATTTCTGCAGAATTAAAATGTGAAACACGATGTAGCTGCTGTTGGTAATCACAGGAAACATAGATGGAAGTGACACCAGTTACTGACCAGTTCGATCCGGTATCAATGTGTCTTATCGATTCTTTTTTGCTCTTAATATCTCATAAGGGATGTATGATGAAACTTTGTTCGAAGCTGGCTATGATAAATATCATTGTTCACAGATGAAATAGTACGACGACTCATCAGTCCAGTGTCTATATGGATTTCAGACCGGCTAGTCCAGTCCCATTTCGTCTACTCAGTGTGGTAGTGGTCGTGAAAAATTCAAATCGATTTCAACTTTGATATGGAGACTGTTTTATTCTATCCCTCTTGGAACACGTTTATTCACCATTCTTTTACTTAATCTTGCAGAAATGCAATAGGGAAGTAGTTCATATATTATAACGAGACATTACTGATATACGACCTGTAATCGTATATCAACATCATCTGTCACTTTCTGTGATGTGTTGTTGCTGAGATATCTATCACGGTCTGTTGATCACGTCTTTCAGGGTCAGTGGCAATTTATCCAACTAATACCACCAAGGACAAATACCCAGAAAAAAATACCGATGATGGCATCATCAGTCCATTGGATATTCTTTCCAGCTTGTCATTTTTGGTTGGAACGAAAAGAAAAAATAGACATGAAACATATCCATAATTCAAGTTCATTTGTGTATTATGGTTCTTCCCATTTTTCACCTTTGCTCTTCGTAAAAAAGCTATTTTTTTTTCTCATGAATGTAAATTCTATATTTGAAATAAACATATTGAGTCATGCATGATTAATTAAATAATAATTTGACGTTCGAATAAATTTGCATTTTTATCTTTTAATATTTTTCTTTTCGACGAAATTAGGATTTACCTTTGTCGGAAAGATGCCTATTTCAAACCTTTTATACGCTGACATTCCATTTAGATCATGTTTCACAAAAAATAAGATTATTGAATATGTTTTTGATAAAAGCCAGGATACATACTTATTTTTCTGTTCTTTAACTCGAGTATCTTCTTGTAGTAATAATGTACGTCGTTTTTCTTCAGCTTCAATTAATAATTGCTACAAAAATCAATGAATTATATTGAATAATGATCTTTAAAAAATTGTAAAACCTGTTGTCGAAGCCATGATTCTTCTTCATGTCGACGTTGTTGTCGTTCACGATACATTTCAACATTAAGTTCACTACAAGAAAACGATCTCAATCATTAATTATCTAATTATTCATGTTACCGTTGTCGAATATAATTCATTTCTTCTTGTCGTAATTTTTCTTTTTCTTGTATTTGATAATCAACAATAAATTTTGGATATTTATTAAAAACAGGATATTGTCCACGTGTTAATGGTTGAAATGATTCAATCATACGTTTTGGATCAATATCAACTGGTGTGACTTCACTAAGACGATAAGCTTCAGTAAGAATTGTTTGTACTGATATAGGATTTCGATGATGAAAAAAATATTTAAAATCATCAAGTTCAGTAACACGTAACAGGGCACTGCGATTATTAATACAATATGATGTAATAATATAGAGAACAAATGATGGATGATTACTAAATATATGATCAAATAAACAAAGCCATTCATCACGGTTAAATATTTCCGAGAAGAATGTTTCAAAAAGAGGCCATGCATAAATCTTAAGAAAAATAATTTTCACTATCTTTTATTAGGAAGAATTTTTTTTTCTTCTAATTTCTTACTTGTGATGTTACTTTATAACGTACGAAATGTGCAAGCAATGTATGATCATGGTGTGTAAGCAAATTTTCAATCATTCCTTTAATACAAAGTAAATTCAAGAATTGTAAGTGTTCACTAGTTTTTTTTTTAGTGTGACTGATGTGGGTACATGAAATCATTCATTAAACTAGATTTTGAACTTTTCTGCGATGAGAAAAAAATGTGATATTTCATGTTTCAAGATTTCAATTGTCGAATGTTGATTCTTCTGACAAATAAGGATGATATTTGAGATTAGTATAGAAAAACACATCCGAATCGTATATTTTATTGTGAAATCTTTTCAAAGAAAATTCATTTGTAGAGAACGCACGGACGAACTCAGGATAACAAGGCTAAGGAAGCTTAGGAATAAAATTTGATTTTCGAAAACACGTTATGATAACACATTAGATTTTGATATGCTTTTGCATGCTGACTTCGAATATATTTATTATACAAGTTTCAACAATTAAAATCTTGATATAAGATGTATCGAGTTTTTTTAATATTTTCCTTCTAAGTGACGCATGACTAATATTATTTACTACTTCTTTTTCTTCAAACCAGAAAAGACTCAAAACTTGGTTTATTGATGTCATGTTCTCACATCAACCATAATAAAAAATCAGTAAAATTAAAACTATCCAGTAGATGGATAGTGAGTCCATCGTAGGAACAAAAAATATACTCATTTCTTAATTTAAAATAATACCTAAAATATTAACTGGTGGATTTGGAAAATACATAAACCATAATTGACACCAATTAAAGAGAACCGTAGCAATAACTTCAAAACAAATAAGTTGATTATTTTCAAATAATTTTATAAATGGAAATGATAATAATGGTAAATAATCTGTTTCACCAAATATTGATGACCAGTGAGCTAATGCTGATAATACACTAATAAGAACATAAAACAAATAAAGAGAAAATTAATAAAGAATTTTCGTTTACATACCGTTGCATAATTCTTAATAATTTTCGACTTTTTAATGGATATTGTTCTTGTAATTTAGCAAACGTTAAATGTCCACCTTTCTCGACAAGTGCAGCATAAGCACCATGATTTTCCGGTAAACGAAGAAGACATCGCCAAATGAATGCTCTTTTTTTTTAAATAAAAATAAAATCAATTTCTTTAGATTTGTTTTCTCTTACCGATATTTTGTTGGATATTCACCATAAAATCGTAATATTTTATAAAGTTTTTTAAAATTTAAACCTTCAGGTAAATTTCGAAACTATTGAGAAAAAGAATTTTTCTTGTCAATAAAACTTCTTTTATTTTTAGTTTTTGATAATCTTACCGCTGATTGATCCAGCGTCGATGATGATATACTTGTTTTATCCGATATTCTTGTTGCATAATGTTGTTTTAATTGAAGACGATCTGATGCTGAATGACTACGTTTTTTAATAGCTAATTTATTTGTTGTTATGGTATTTGTACTTAATGTTATTCGTGATCTCGAACTTTGTGTTGTTGTTGATCCTTTGGAACATGTTATTTGACTATTAGTATCATTATGAAAATCTTCATTCGAACGTAATGCACGAACAATTGGTGATGGTGCTCGATTTAATTCTTTCCATGTTGTTGCTAAATCATATATGTGTAATTGACCTGATACAAGTGTACATGTACAAAATTTTCCATTTGATGAAAGAAGAAAATGTTGAATAGAATCATTTTCTTGTCCAATTTGAAATAAATCACGACACGTTTCAATATCCGCAAAACGAAGAATACCATCTTGACAAAGCATAGCAATGATCTTTAAAACAAAAATTTCAGAGAATAGTTTTTTTCAGAAGATTAATACCCGGATCAAGAAATACTGTAAGTGTGAAGTCTGAAACTTGATCCAAGTATTCGCAGAAACACACACAATATTTCAGTCGGAATATCTGACGATGGAACCTCTCCACGTGTTACATCGCTCTTCGATCGAAACAATGTTAATTTGACGAGTGTCAGTGAATAATAGAAAAGTCTAGAATGGTTTAGTTTTTCAGGCCTTCGTTCTTCAGATATCGAAATTTTATTGGGGCTTTTAACAAATAGCTGTAGTTCCCCTCAGGTCACATGAAAAATCAACTTTTGACTTCAAACTTTACACGAATAAGGTTCTCAATGATATTAGTTCATTGGGTAAGCTTTAACTCTTCTAGTATCCCCTATTCTGAGAATTGAAATTCTCTCATAGATAGAAAACAAATTTTATTCATAAATTTGAGTCTTCAGAAAGAAGCCAAACCATTCTAGTCTTTTCTATTATTCACTAACACTCATCAAATGAACATTGTCTCGGTCGGAAAGCGATTTGACATCTGAAGAGGTTTTCTCATGAATTGAATAGCTAAATATTTGAGCTCAAGAATTAAATATCTGAAGAGGTCTTTAATAATTGAAATCAACTTTTAAGTTTGACACTGCTGAGAAATTCGAGTTGATTTTGACCGCAAAACAATGGAAACTTGAAAGGAAAAATTTATTGACTGACTCTGTGTTTGTTGTTGATCAGACCTAAAAGAATCCGGCTGTATGATTTCTACTGTCAAGCTCATATTATTTTCCCGAGTCTGGCGGCGAAAAGTCACAATCATTGATCTAGATTTCGAATTCATACTTTATGTGAACCACCATCAAAGCTTTGACTAAGAAATCCCATTTCTTTAATTTCTTTTATTGCTTTTGGTAATTCAATTATTTTTATTAATTTATGTGTTTCTAAATTCCAAATTTGTAAATAACTTGATTTACCACCACAAACAAGTATACTACCATCACTAAAATAAAACATTTTTATATTCATTAATTTGAAAACGATATTTTTGTTTTTGTTTAAATATACTTCGTAACAGCAAATGCTCGATAAAATGGTGGATTTTTTTCTGGTACAACTAATTGATATTTAAATTCAAGATTTTTTGCATCCCATACAAGGATAGAATCATCACGAAAACATGTTAAAATATAATTTGATACGGGACAAAAGAAAGCCTATTCATATATCAAATAATAAATTAAAAAGTTTAATTAAATATTTTCTTACACGAAAAAGACAAACATCATTTTTGTTTGTAATTGTTAATTTCCGTTTTCTCTCAAATGTTTTTAATTCCCATAGAAAAGCTATTTCAGCTGATGTTGTTATACAAAAATCTCCATTACTATCAATAGATATTTCTTTAACTGGTGCCATATGACCTTTTAACCAAGCAACGAATTCTTTTTTGTCTAAAACAAAAAACAACAGCTTAATTTAATTAAAATATTGTTATAAATTTTTACCAGCATCAAAACATTTTACTGTAAAATCAGGCATAGCAATTAAAAATTCGGACGGATTTCGTAAATTAAATGCAACTGCTGTACAACTTGTACCTGTTCTATGAACAAGTTCAAATCTAAATTGAAAAACAAAACATTTAAAAAAGAAATCAATTCTTTGAATTTTTCGTACTTATTTCGAATAAGATCAAAAACATAAACATTTCCACGTTGATCAACAGCTAATAATCGTTCACCATTTCGATCAAATCCTGCTTGTAAAAAATGTACTGTTTTTAAAGGTACATCAGCAACATTAAATATGGAATGTAGAACATTAACAAGAAGACTATAATTAAATAAATATTATTTTGAAAATTAAAATTAAAAAAAAAACCATATGTATACCCGTTTTTCCCTGTTCCTTTTCGATGCCATATCTGACCACTTTCTTTACCATGTAACTCAAGTGTATTATGCATTATCTGAAAGAAAAGAAAGCATCTTCTTTTCACATTAATTAAATGTAAGCATTAGTGTAAAATAATTCCAATGAATCAATTGATATATATTTAAACATTTAGGTCAACATTACATCCATAAAACGAGTACCTACACCCACACCTGCATTTATAAGCTGCTGTTTGTTGTTGATGAATTAATTAATAATCATCACAATATCCGGCTGGACAATGTTTAGTAGGTGAACATGAGAAAAAATAATCTTTAATAATTCAAATATACAACACTAAAAATTATCAAATGGGAATCGTAAGATATAAATTTCCATACGTGGTAACTCGTATCTAACTGTTTCATTTAATTTTTCCTACTACTATGTCGAATGACAAAATTAGTAAATGACTTGTATCATTGACAATAGAAATTTAACCAATATTCTAGTTATTATCCTTTGCTTTTTAAACTATATGAACATGATATCGGTCTGAAATATAACATAATATAAGCGTCATTTGTTCAAACTTTTGTTCGATTGGCTTTTGGTCTCCATAGAAGATTCTATTGTTATGGAGTTAATGCCCACTTTCAGTAGATATTACTGACTTTACTCTTTCAGCGCCATCTACTAAAAACCACGTCCAATTGAAAATGACCTTCAAATCTGTCAAGCAAGTTTCGAAAATGAACAATTTTTTATATTTTCATTTGCCTTCTATCATGACTAAAACTTTAATATAGTTGATTTTTCAAAATAAAACAAAAAAAGAGAAACATAGTAGAACTAATGAATCATTTTCATGATGTAGCTCCATTACATTCAGATTAATTTTTCGCTTAAGTATTCAATCTATTGAAAATTGAAAGCAACACTTTGTTTCTGAAAAACAAACATAGGCTTGCCTTTGTGAATGTTAAAAATGATTTCTATTCGATTTGATTTAGTCATTACTATTTCATTTGTATATGTTTAAGCGATAAAAAAAAATATTACCCTCCAGCTACCCATAATATTCAACGCTTGGTTTCACATTCTAATTGACACATACAGGTATTAGATAGAGGATTTAGAAATCGTTTCGTTACAAAGTATGTTTTATTTCGTTTGATTTTTCAAGTTGATCGATCCATGAAAAACTAATTTTTTTATGTAATTGAATTCAATTAAATTAAAACTTTGAACTATTTATTATACGACTTGATTATTGATTTGAAATAAATATGTCTGTAAAAGAAGTAGAACTATCATATAATGACGACAGATATTCATAATAAGAAAATAAGAAGTCATATTTTCTTTCAATTGATGGTTTTATTTCATAAGTGCCTCGATTGTTATGGAATTGATTCCTTCCATCTATGAAATAATAACAGTTATATTTCTAGCGCCACCTGTCAAACCAATCGATTTATGGAATGTGGCGTATTATGTCTCCTGGGTCACAGAGTAGTAGACATGTGTATGTTCAGCTAAAACTCTTAGAATTTTTTTTACTATTCTATAGAACCAACTAAAGTAATTTGATTAATTTTTCTCTAATAAATAAAAAATCTTTATAATATTTATCAATCAATTTAATTTAATAATTAAAATCTTTTTCAGAATATTTAATTTAATACAAGAAAACTTAATTTATCGATTTGTAAAAAATGACTTATTGATTTTTATTGTTTGTGATTTATTATTTATCAAAAATAAACTATGAAACTGTTGTCTTCTTCCTCAATAATCTAATTTATTGTAGATAAATTTCTTTTATTTAAGTTATTTTTCAAATAGTTTTTATAGTGTACAAATTGAATTGAATGAGAATTATTCAAATTGGCAATCGACTTCTATCAATATCGACCATCGGTATGTTCAAATAATAGTTCATTATATCCTTAAAAAAAAGCAAATGTGATTACAAAAGAAAAAAAACGGAATAATTATTTATAAAGAGTAATGATTCTTTTTTTTAATTCAAGGACGAACCACTGTATCAGTAGTAAAACCTCATTTGTTTTATTATATCTATGGTCAACGTATATTATCAATCGATTCGAATCGATTAGTACTGTTGTCCTTAACCGATATTCGTACATTTCATTCATCTGTACTACTTTATAATGACAAATTTGAACAAGAAAAATCTGTAAATTTATTTGAAAAAGATAAAATTGATAAAAAAGGTGCGAAACAAACAGAATCAACAACAAATGTTCCAATTGTTCGACCAGATGCTTCACTAATTACTACAACGAATGAATCAACAATTGCTAAACGTAAATCTCTTTGGCAACGTTTTGTGAATGAATTAAAACATTATTATAATGGTACTAAATTATTATTTATTGAAACAAGAATTGCATTTCGTCTTCTAAGACAAGTTTTAAATGGTCATACATTATCACGACGAGAACGAAAACAAGTATAGAAAGAGAAAATATAATATTTCTTTTTTCATATTTTTTAATTTTAGTTTACCCGTACGGTTGCTGATTTATTTCGACTTGTACCGTTTTCTGTATTTATTATTGTACCATTTATGGAGTTTACATTACCAATATTTTTAAAACTGTTTCCTAATATGTTACCTAGTACATTTAAAGAATCAAATAAAGAAGTATAAATATATATATTTTTTTTGTCGATTTTTTTTTATTCAATGAACAATATACATATTTTATTTATAGAAAGAAAAATTAACAAAACAAATAAAAGGTAAATTAGAAGTTGCTAAATTTTTACAAGATACACTTGAAGCAACAGCATTAACAACGAAAAAGAAACGTTCCGATCATGCATTAGCAACACAGTTTGTCGAATTTATGAAAAAAGTATTTATTTGTTTTTATTTTACATCATTGATAATACAAAAAAGAACTTTTTTTCAATGAGAAAGTCAAAAAAAAGATATTCAACTTAGGTGGATAATCTTTCTATGATTTCAACTAAGTACAGGGTAGCCAAGAAAAAGGTTATGTTCCTATGATAAAAAATTTATTGCACAACGAAATCATATTTGTTAGATTTCAATCTTTTGTAAAAATTCAATTATTCAATAGCGAAACGAAGCAGTATTTGTGGACATGAGCGAAATCAGTTATTTTTGGTTCCGCCAAGACTGGAACCTTCTTATCCATATCTATTTTAGAACACAATGAATCGTGACAGTATCACATTTCACGCAATTTTACGCGACCACAAAAGGTACCGTTATTACTAAATAGGTGTTCGACCTGGTACTGATCTCAGCCTCGGTCAAGGGGGAACAAACTGATTTCTTGATTTCCGTGATTTCTAATGATTTCTAGACACAGAAATCAGTTTGTTCCCCCTTGGCCTCAGTAAAGCCAAGTTCAGGATCAGCATAGTCTTATGACCTGAAATTTTCAAGCTATGCTTCTAGTCGTTCACAGCTTAATTAAACATAAATTTTTTTTTTTGAATTATTGCTAAAGTTTTAGTATTATTAAGATATCCGTACAAAAGCAATGTTTTATTATTTTTTTTGGCATATATGATATATTATACTAATTTTGTTATTTCAGTATTTGATTTGTTTTCGTTACGGTCAACCATATGCTGTAGATATAGTGTTTCAATACTCTAAATTATTGATAAGTTTTGATTTCATAATGAAAAACAAATTACAATATAGCAAAGAAGGATACACCAGTAATTGGCATCAAATTAAATGATTCTGTCCGAACGAAAAATTCTTTAACAAATTAAACACGATCCTTTTTTAGATCGAAGTTTTTTTCCATAGCGAGTATACCAGTAGCTCTATGCTTACACTAAATTTCAACTGAACAGTAACTGTTAGTGAGATCTTGAGCCGCCATGAATAAGTGACTACGTTATTTGATACGTATTCTCAAGGTACTATGCTCAAATTTTCATACTACCAGCCATGAAGTAACCGTGAGCAAATCACTAACAGTTTTGTCTCGCGTCATCCGTTCGATAGCATGCAGGCTACGTTATGACATACATCTGCTCAAGACTACAATGTAGGGAATATATCGATCTATTGAATATGTCGCTCGACAATACCTCATACCACAAGATAGTCGAATGACAGAAGTAGTCTTGTTTCCTGGTCATAGTATACCGTTTGAGCATAGATTTAATGTTTTCAAAATAAAAGTGTCTCTATCCAGCAGATTTTTCTATTAGTTTTTTCATCGAATAAGATATAAAAAATTGAAGAAAGAAAACAAACAAACAAATAACAATGTGTTAATACGTATACACATATAACATTAACATAATAAAATTTAATTTTGATTTAGATTCGTTCAACCGGTGTTCAACCTTCAACAGAAGAAATAATGAAATTCTCTTCATTATTCGAAAATAAATCAACATTAGATAATCTTGATCATCAACATTTAGTTGCTGTATGTAAACTAATTGGTATATCTTCTATTGGTCCTGATTATTATCTTCGTTTTATACTTGATTTAAGATTACGTCATTTAGAAGCTGATGATAAATTAATTGAATCCGAAGGTATTGAAAGTCTTAATGTTGAAGAATTACAAGCAGCATGTCGTGAACGTGGTATGCGTTCATATGGTGTTAGTATTGAACGTTTACGTTCACAATTACAACAATGGTTTGATCTTCATCTTAACAAACGTATACCATCAACAATTCTACTATTATCTCGTTCACTTTATTTACCAGAAAATATTTCACAAGAAAATGTTCTAAAAGCAACTATACAATCATTACCAAAAGCAATTGACACTGTAACAGCTATTAATTTAGCACAAGTTAGTGGAGAACGTATTGATAATACACAACGTGTTGAATATATTAAACATGAAGATGAAGCTATTAGAAAAGAACGAGAAGAAAAAATAAAAATAAAAATTTTAAATGATGATAAAATTAAAAAGAAAAAAAATATGGAACAAATTATTTTAGCAACAAAAACATCATTAGATGTTCCTAAAATAGAAAATCTTGTTGATAATAAAGCATTAATAATTCATGATCTAACAAAGAAAGAAAACAAAGATGAACAAAATATTAATGTTGGACAATTTGAAACAGCACTTGAACAACTTGTTAATCGAAAAGCTAAAGAAGTTCGAAATGAAGTTGAAGAGGTTCAAGATCTTAAAGTAAATTTTCAAAATAAATAAATTTCTATTTATTTATTTTTTTAGTCTGATCTTAAATTTTATAAAGAAAATATTAAGGAATTTGCGGCATTAGTTTCAACAAAACAACTTCAAAATTTAAATGAAGCACGTTCTGCTAAAGCATTGTCAAAACGTATTGGTAAACTTGTTACTGATCTTGATCATATTGTTCAAACACTTGATAAAAAGCAAGATAAACTTAAAAAAGATATTAAAGTAAGTTCTATTTGATTTTCAAATTAATTCATTTTTTAAAATTTTATATTTATTTAGATTGAAGAAGATACATTGAAGGAGGAAGCCTTATTGAAAGCTGATCAAATTCAACAACATAAAGATTTCCTTACGGAAAAAAGGTTTTTATATTATATTATATTTACAGCATACGAGAGCTTGTGACCGACACTCAACTAATATCATAATAGTATAAGTGAACTATCTTATAAATCATATTACTCAGAGAAAATGGATTAAAAAATATTCAGAAAATATATTAGAAAAATCAATAATATACGATTCGATGCGTATTCATCTTCTGTATCTTGTTTCTATCAACAGTTATTCAAAATACTTAAAAGTATCATGGTCACATATCTTAACAAACAGCTCTTATCGAAATTTTATTATTATGATATTCGTTGAAGAATGATGAAATATAGAGAGAAAATTTTCTTAAATTTCGTATACAATATTGAAGTGTCTCCGTCACTACTTTTTATATATACTAAGGATTGTTTCTTTGTATACAATTAAATTTATTTATAGAGATATGCTTGTATCAACTCAAGAATTTATTAATACAATTCGTCAAATACAAAAAGCCTCAAATGAATCTACAGATGCTCAAATTTGGGATATAATTCAACAATTTGATCGTAATCAAGATGGTTTTATTGACGTTGATGAAATAGTAAAAGTAAAAATAAGAAACATAAATCAATATTTGATTTGATTTAAATAACATTTTTCTAATTGTTGTTTTTTTTTGTTTCTCTTTTTCTTTAGACACTTGAAATTATTGGTAATGAAAAAATTCAAATTTCGAAAAAATATTTAAAAGAAATAATTAATCTTGTACGAAAAGAACATATGATTGAACAAAAAGAAAAATTTGAAGCTAAAACCAAACAACAGTTCATTATGAATTCCATCAATAGTATGGAAAAAACAAAAAACATTTAATTTTAAGTTTATTAATTATTTGTTTTTTAATATCACAAAATATTTATTTGTTGTAGTAGAATGATAGAGAAAAAAAACGAGAATGTCTATTTATTAATCAGTTTATTTTGTTTTAAATTTTCATATGAGAAAAAATAAACAAGCACAATCATTTATTTTTATTTATAGATGATTTGTATTTAAAAACTGTACAATAAATGGAGAATAAAATCATGTAAACTTCGTAAGTTCAACTAGACATTATTTTATCAAAAGGATCATTCCACTCGTATATATGGTAATTGGCAAGTAAATATATTTATTCATTGTTAGAATATTATGAAAAATAATTCAAAGGTTTTGTTCTATGAAGCACGATCTAAAAGGAATGTTGAGGATCGATAGACAGTGACAAATGCGTTAGAAACGGCTTATCATAAACATGACACACATGCTAGCTGCGATACATCACAAACACTGCAGGCACCTTAGCGAGGTTACTTCACCCCTTCTGCCGCAGACATCAGTGCAACACTTCTCCTCTCCGCGTCACAAATCGCGACAAATGTTATTAATATATGATCAAAGGTCGTGTATCAATAATTGTTTCTTTATAATCAATGAACTACTTTCTTATGGCATTTCTCGAGGATTAAATAAAAAGGATCTCTCTATGATTAGTAAGAGTAGTTACATCGTGCTTCACATTTTAGTCTCGTAAAGATTGCACTAACAGTTTTTTTCTAAATTTATTAGGTTTTTGTATTTGCCTTTTGGTTGTATAATAGGCGGCGTAGATTAAATGGGACAAACTTATTTTCTTTTTATTTTGGTAAACTTAAATACACTTTCAAAAGTTCGTCTGATGATGATCATTCGATAGATAATTGCTAGCTCTAGAGAACTCGTGTCTTGGTTTTTCAAATAACTTCTTCTTGTTAGGACAAATCTCAAACGATAGAAACCTATTCTGTAGTCTAATTGCTATTTCCCATTTCCTGTTATTATTAAGAAGATAAATGCTTGGAGCTAATACCTATGGTTATTTTTGGACAATGTATGTTTTCAAAAGCGGGTCTTGATATATGAAACGTACATTCTCATGCTATCGGATATAGAATTGAGTTCTGAATAAAATTGCAACTATCAAATCGAAGAGTAAAGGCAATTAGATTGTGTCGAATTTAAAAAGAAAAGATTTTTTCAAGTGTTTTCGTATTTCTACGACAATTTTTTTTAACAGAAATGTTACTGCTGATACTTTGAAACGTATACCAAAACATGCAAGATTTCGAGAAGAATCTGATGACATATTTGTAATTTTAGTAGAACCTTCTTTTTGACAGACGCAGTTAGACTATCAAATAGGTATTAATCCTTTGAGCTATTCTTCGACAAAAAAATGTTTGAAAAACCAAGGCAACAGTTTTACAGAATGAAAAATTTTCTATCGGATAAGTATTGAAGGATTTTTTTGAAAGTGTACCGAAGTATCCCAAAATTTTAAAAAAGTGATATTGTCATATTTAATCTGCATTACCTGTTACAAAACATTTTAATTAGGCATAAGAAAAAACTCAATCTTGAACAATGAATTTTTTTCTAATTTTCTTGAATTGGTGTTCAAATCTACACTGTAAATTACGATAAAATCCTAAAAAATTAAATTCTATAAGTTGAATATTTCGTAACAATTATTATTAGCATGGTCTACAAACAACTAGGGGAAATGCAGATTGACAATTCTATGATTCTAGTGATTTCTAATAGGTTCTATCAGAATTCATTCACTAGAATCTACTAGATTTCACCAAAGTACATTATAATTTACGGAGTTTCATGAAGATCTTAGGATACCAAGTTCTTTTTCCGCTTGTTTTCCTAAAATTCTGGTGTTCAATTTTCTATTTTTTTTTCTAATGATTCACTGTTTTATTATGACCCTTGATCGGTTTTAACAGTTTTTTGTGCCTGTTGACATCCAATAGAATTCATCGAAATTAATATATTCATCTGGTTGCTTACAAATATCTGAGATATTAAAATATTCTTTTGACCTGAACAAACATATCCTATAATGGGTTAAACAGAGAAACTGATTTATATATTTTTTGTTCAAAAATAGCATACGACGTAAAAGTAATGTTACAAAATGTTGACCCTTATATTTCTTCATAGACGCGGCTCTGAAAAGAAATTCTTTTCTAATTCTATAGAAGATTGTCTCCTCTTTCGAACTGTATATGACCTATTTTTATGACACCCTCATAAACAGAACAACGCTAGTAGAAATAGAGACATTCTAAAAATAGTTCTGCACTTTATGTACATTTTACAATAACAACACAAAATATTGACTACTATGTTTCTTCTTAGAATACGTGTCAGAATGATCATTTTTTATCAGCTGATAGGAAATTTTCTCTTCTGTCAAACTCTATATAATTTTTTTTTGTTACATGTTCATAAAGTAAATGATATGAAGGAAAGAAGAAATGTCCGTACAAGAAATTTTTGATCTTTTCATGAATTTATCGGAGAAATCTTGTAAATCAACTGAAATATAATGTTAAGATGGTAATAGATATGGCAATAGCTGCTACTTATTAATGAAAGAGAGCAGAAATTTCATTTTTCAGTAGAATAAGTATGAAGAACAAAAAATCTTTATTTAACAGTAGAATACAGTTTCTACACTACATGTGACGAAAATTCTTGTTAGTTGGTTTACAAGATTTCTCCGATAAACCAATGAAAAGATCAAATATTTCTTGTACGGACCTTTATTCATTCCTTCTTATCATTTCGTTTATGATCGCGTAACAAAAATAAATTAGAATACAGTTCGAAAAAAGAGACATAGTAGTCGACATTCTTCTGGGTTGCTATTGTGAAATGTACAAAAAGTACAGAGCTATTTTTAGCATGCTTATTTTTCTTCTCTCACTGTTCTGTTTACAAGTGTCTAATAATAATAGGTCATATACAGGTCGAAAAAAGGAGAAAATCGCCTATTGAATATGAAAAAAATTTCTTTCTAGAGTCATGTCTATGAAGAATTATAAGGGTCAATATTTTGTACTATTACTTTTGCATCGTACGTTAGATGTAACACATTTATTGAATGAACTGAACTATTTTATTAGGCTTTTTTCTCATTACTTGACAAACTTAGAATTGAACTCGTAACAATTTCTATTCCGTATTTCGATTGTTTTTCGATAATATAAGTTGAAAAAAAGATGTGATTGATAGACGCTACTTGATAAACATATTCGAAGGATAGTTGCATGAAATTATATTAATGAACTATTCGAATCTAAAAAAACAAAGAAAAATATTTTTAACTTCATACATATGTAGCTATTATAATAGTCAACTTCTTTTTTAATAATTATTAAAATCCGTTGAAATGTTGATTTCTATTCAAATAAGTGAAATATACTTTTATTAGTTAATCAATATGGCTGATACGAAAATGATGCTAATTGTACCTTCATTTGCTCATATTTGTCAGAGTTATTTAAAAACAATCAGATTATGATTGTTTTTTTTCTGTTAACAGATATTTCTTATACTGAACATGTTTTATACTCCATGAGGAAACCATTTGAACTGATATTCGCTCTTTGAGCTCATATTTTGCCTATAAAGAAGCCTTGATGAGACTATCAAAAGTCTAAAGTGACTAGGCGCTTTGCTTTTTTAGAGTCGAATTATGGCTGTTTTTTGTTTTTGTTTTACTTTTTCGTAGGTATTTAGTGAAAAATGGAATGACAGTTTTGATTAGAAATTTTGCTCATAAACAAGACTTGCACGCCTTAGAAATATCCTGTAAGTTTCAACTGAAAAGAATAGTCCATTTTTGAGGTATTACATTTTCAAACAAACTCGATTTTTGTGCCATGCCTGTGATAAATGATGATTTCTTTTGAATATTCGGTATCTCCACAAAAGAACATTCTTTTCGGTTGAAGCTTTCAGGATATATTAGGAGTCATTCAACTTTTCCACAAGCAAAATTTCCAGTCGAAACTCCATTATTTATTTTTTCGGCAACTATCTAAAAATTGAATCAAAAATTCAATAAAATGATCTTAAATCGACTTCGAAGGCCCATGGAGACGAGCCCTTTTAGACTCTTTGATAGTATCATCAAGACGTCGTTGTAGGCTCAATATGAGCTCAATCGGTAAATATCAGTTCGGATGATTCCCATGTCAGTTTGTCCATTAGCATTATGATCGGATTTTTTTCCATTTAGACTTTGTTAACGATAAACTATGTGGGTGATTTCTTCTTCTTCTTTTCCATTTCTAGATGAATTTTAGTGAATTATTTAAAGTAACATCTCGTCAATGTTCATTTTCTCCTGATGGTCAATATTTAGCATGTGTGAATCATTATCGTTTAATAATTCGTTCGTCAACAACATTAGAAATAATAAATTTATTTGCTTGCATTGATACAATTGATACAATTGAATGGTCATATGATTCACGTTTAATATTAGCTGGTCTAATAAAACGCAATGCTGTTCAAATATTCTCATTAGATAATCCTGAATGGAAATGTAAAATTGATGAAGGTTCAGCTGGTCTTTGCCAAGTACACTGGGCACCAGATTCTCGAAACATATTAACAACAGCACAATTTCATTTACGTATAACAGTTTGGTCATTAGCATCAAAAAATGTTTCCTATATAAAATATCCAAAAAAACTTTCACCTAATTCATATGTTTTTAGTTTATTAAAACCGTACATGGCATTAGTTGAACGTCGTAATGATAGTACAGATCATATATCAATATTTGATTATTCATCTAATTGGTCAATGATTGCACATTTTCAACCAAATGATTTAGAAGATCTTCAAGGTATTGAATGGTCACCCATAGCTGATGTTTTATGTTTATGGGAAAATTCTTATGAATATAAAATTGTTTTTTATACACTTGATGGACAATTATTAAATATATATAAACGAGAAAATGATCGTTTATCATTAGGTATACGTTGTGCACGATGGTCACCAACAGGACAAGTTATTGTTGTAGGAGATTATGAAGAACGTATAACTGTTTTTAGTTATTTAACATATAAAAAAATTCAAGCATCATTTGAACATCCACAGAAATTATCATCAGGAAAAGGTTATACAATTTTAAAAGAAGAAGAATATAATTTAGATGGTCAAGAAAAAAATGATCAAAGGTAAATTAGAAAAATGGAATAGTAACGTAGATCGATTTTTTCTTTCTGAGTCCTACTAAAGAATAACAACAGAACAGTCTTGATTGTTGTATACTATTGGACCTCATGAAGAAGTATTGAGCTTAAATAACTGAAGCTAGACATATACAAGGTAAACTTTTCTCGTACCCTGTACTAGGACTGGCGAGAAAATTTCTTTGGGTGTCAAATTGTTGTTCGACCGAGAGAATGTTCATTTGATGAGTGCTACTAAGTAATAAGACAGCCTAAAATGGTTTGATTTTCCAGGTCTTCGTTCTTCAGGTATCGAAATTTTACTGGGATTCTTCAACGAAAAACTATGATCTCCTTCAAGTGACGTGGAAACTCGACTTTCGAGTTTTGACTTCAAACTTTGCATAAAAAAATTCTTTATGAGATTAGTTGATTGTTTAACTTTTAGCATTTATATTATTTCCTTTCTGAAAATAAAAATATATGAACAAAATTTTCTTTTACTCATAAGAGAATTTCGAATATTTCAAATCTTTGGATAGGAGATACTAGAAACATTAAAAGTTACCCAATGAACTAATCTCATTGAAAACTTTGTTCGTACAAAGTTTAAAGTCACAATTCGAAGATAACTTGAGACGACCATAACTTCTAGTTGAAAAAAAAAGTAAAATTTTGATATCTCGAGAACAAAGACCCAGAAAACCAAATGGTTCTAGACTTTCCTATAAATCATTATTACTCATCAAATAAACATTGTCTTGATTAAAAAGCGATTTCATACTTAGAGAGATTTCCGCGTAGGAGAAATTTTCTAACCTCTCAACTATCCTTACCCTGCACATCTCTACTTCGACTTCGTAATTGATTTAATAAAAAAGTGTTTATGAGCGATTTCATATTCCTATTCATCAAAAAAAATAAAACAGTCATACTTGAGACAGAAAGCATCTCAAATATCCATTTAAGAAAATCATATGAACAGAACTCCTTAACGGTTTCATTTTAAAAACGAGCATTATACCAAAATAGCAAGTTTGTTTTTTCAGAATTTGAGACTGTCTCATCAGAACGTTGAGTGAAATGATATTCAATTATTAAGTATTGTATGTTGTTAAGAAATCAGCATGATAATTCACATTAGTGAATAAACAATACTTTCTTAAATGTATTAAATATAATTTATCTTTATTTTATATTTCAGTAAACGTAAACCTTATTCATCTTCTGCTTATTCATCATCTGCAGTATCACAAATAGAAACAAATGTTTCTATTGAATCAAAATATATTATTTATAATGGTACACTTCAAATAGCACCAATAAAACCTGATCTTGATCGTGCTAATCCACGATTAGGTGTATCATCAATTGAATATTCATGTTCAGGTCGATATTTATCAACAATCAATGATACCATGCCAAATCTTTTATTTATATTTGATTTTAAACCAACATTCCATTTGGCTTTTGTTCTTATACAAATTCAACCTATACGATGTATTAAATGGGAACCAAAACGTGATAATTTAGCATTATGTACACATAATAATCGTATTTATGTATGGACACCACAAGGTGCATCTTGTATTAATTTACCTGATGAATCATCAAAACATAATATAGATGAAATTAAATGGAATAATTTTGCATCTTCACCAAGTATTGCATTAATTGGACAGGAAACAATGTGTGTAGGTTTTATTGATCTTAATACTGATATATAATGTGTGTTCAGATAAATTTTTTTGTTTTCATTTTTTTTTCTTTTTTGTAATCTATGAATGAATTTCTTGTTGAATGTTATTTGTTTGTCAGGCTTCTTTTTTGTTGCTGATATACAATTCTAACGTAGAATGTTTTTTTTTATTATGAAAAATATTTCCATTAGCTGTAGTCTCTTTTAGATATGATGGAAAATAATAATTTTATTGAACAAGAAGAAGATAATAATGATGAACTTGATATTTATGATTTTCTTGAAGTTATTGCCAGTAAAATTGATTCGTTCAAAAATCAAAGTACAGAAGATCATTAAAACGGGAAATTCACCTTGTTTTTTTGAAAATTTCTTTTTTTTTGTAGTTGAAGAACGTAAAGAATATTCTCGACAAAGATGGCAACGAACAAAAGAGGAAGTTGAAGAACAAAAACGTTTGCTTAGAAGTCAATTAGAAAAACATATTCATTTATTATCTGAAAATTTGAAAAAACCAAATTTTATTCGAACAAGAGATAAAATTACATTTACAATTGGAGTTGCTAATACCTGTTTTTCTCCATTAATAGGTATGATTTGATTTTTTTTGTTTTTATCAAACATAATGTAGAAGCCGTGTTGAAGTGTATTAGGATAGAAATTTGCACGTCTTTCCTCCACTCTCCGCCACAAGCACTGGCAGACATTACTATGAAAGCATCATTAGGCATGCAACGAACTCGAACTGAAGTTCGAAAGTTATCCAATGAGTTCAGACCGTGTCGCGAACTTTGATAGTTTTTCAAACAGTTCTTGAAGCGTATTCACGATTATGGAAGTACCCTTATGCTCGACCACGTTCGGATTTGGATATTTCCTAACATCATTAACTTTTTCCTTGATAGAAAGTCTATTGCCTTTCAATTCTTGGATCATTTGCTTCATTGTCTGTAGACCTAATTATTATAGTTAACCATGAAAATCTATCTGTTGGTTTACTTAAAACTTCCTAGTTTTATTAATTAACTGAAGATGACTATACATTCAAGACCGAATCCAAAATCAAACATTCGAGTTTGATGCATGCCTACTCATCATTGATGGTGATAGGCTCGTTAGCAACACTCCTCGTTCCCTTCGTCACAGATCGCGACTAACGTTGTTGACATACGATTACAGGTCCGTATACTAATAATGTCTCAGTATAATATGTGAACTACTTCCTTATTTCATTTCTCAGATATTAAGAAAAAAGGATGATGAAGAACTATGTCTAGAATAAACAAATCTTCTTGTGATTAGCAAGAGTAGCTACATAATATGACATATTTTAACTCCATAGAGATTGTGTCAATAGCTTTATTTTTAGAGAAATGAATTTATTTATTTGAATTTTAGCTGCAAAGTGGCCTCAAATATTACCAATAGTTTATACAGTTCAAGCATTTTTTCTCATAACACTTCGATTTTTTATTTACAAAAGTAAACATTGGCATTATTCTGGTATGATTTAATTGATATAAATTGATATTTAATCTAAAGTTTTATATTTAGTTTTTGATTTATGTTATTTTGTTAATCTTTTAACATTAATCTATTTATGGATTTTACCATCATCAAAAATTCTACTTGCTGTTTGCTATTCATTAGCTCATGGTCCAGTGGCTCTTGCAATAGTTCTTTGGAGAAATTCTCTTGTTTTTCATAGTGAGTTTTTATTAGTCATATATTGAAAAAAATGAAACAAGTTTTCTTTTTGTCATTATAGGTTTTGATAAAGTTACGAGTATCTTCATTCATTTGTAAACCTATAAATTTATTTTAGTAGCGTTTTTTTTCTTGTCTATCGATTTATTTTTATTAGATATCCACCATTAACACTGTTTACTCTTCGTTGGCTTCTACCAGTTGATCTTCAATTAAAATATTATCCAGCTATTGTCAATACTGGTTCTAACCTTCCTATAGGTACATCGATTTTTTATACAATCATTTTTTATTTGGTGTGGCAAATATTGTATTATACGTTTATTGTTCACGGACGTCGACAGAAAGTGGTAAGTGGATCAAGAGCAACATCGTATACATGGTTATTAACCAATGAGAAAAGTTTCGTTTCACGTCTTATTCAAAAATTAGGTTTTGGAGTAGCTAATGATGGAATAAATCGATATAAAATTTTCATTTATTATTTTCTACAATTTTTATACATGCTTATTTCAATTTTACCGGTTTCATTATTCTATTATCAAAACATGTAAGTTGATATTTCTATGTTTGTGATAATAAACAAAAAAAAATCGTAAACTCAACTCAGCTAAATACAGAAGGGCCAATTCTAACAGAAAAATACAAGAAATAGATGAAAATCGGAATTATTTTCCGGTGACTTTCATTCAATTTCCTCTACTTCCTAACAAGAAACCACCAGGAATCATTTGGAATAATTTTCAGACTTTCCAATCCGAAATATTGTTTCCAAGTCCCACCGATTTTCGAAGTATTCCGGCTGAATACTAGAATTTTTTCATATCCTTCAGATGAAAGCTGTTTGTTTTCGAAGGCCGGAATCATTGGCCTGTCAGTTAATTTAATGAAATTTTTATTCTAGGTATATCAATGTCATCTTTCTTTGTTCGTTGTTTACAATCAGTGTTTATAATGGAGCTTCTTTTTATATTGGTAAGACTATCAAAAATATATATATATATATTTGTCTATTGATTTATAATTTTATAATATTTAGATGTTTTCTCACGTCAATATATAAAAAGCTTTGAATTATTATATCAATCGGATCAATCCGATACGAATAATCAAGAAAATGACAATAAAAAAGACTCTTAAATGTATTAATATATCAACTAAACTAACTGCTTAATTTTATTTCATAATATATCATGTATCTTATTTTTTTATCATTTATTTTTATTAGTTTGAATCAAAATATATTTAATGACTCAATACAATATTATCTTAGATAACAAGTCATTACATTTGAAGATATATGAAATTCAATTAAAAACATAGAACTAAATCGATATTTCATTTATTAAAATATCAACGTGTCTTCTTTCATTAGACTATTTCAAAAAAAAAGGTTTAAGAATAAAAATTTGTATTAGTTCATTGATCTATATATCGGTATTATGTTAAAATTATAAACTCCAATCGAATAGAAGACATGTATTATTCACAAGTAGACAAAAATAAATTTAAAAAAGTTTCTGTTTAAGGTTTTCACATAAAGCATCGTCAACTAAAATAAATACGATTCACACTGTTTGCCTCATTTTATCTATTAATATCTCAATATTATGGCCATATGCATGCATTCATATGACCTGCACGTTATTTTTTCTATAATTATTTTAATCACATGTTTTCAAACATCTTGTATTTCTGCTACTAGATGCTTGAAATGAATAAAGCAGACAAGAGATAACAAGAAACGGCGAAAAAAACATGACTTACATTCTCTCTTTTCTCATGTTTATTACTTATTCGAACAAGTCAGGATATTTGATTTTCCGAATCAAACTCATTTGAATATTAGTTTTTCTTTGATATTTTACAGGCAAACTTTCATATAGTTAGTAGATCTTACCAATTATTAAAATGGATTTGAAATCGAATACAGTCGAATTATGTAATGTATATTTCACTGTGTTGACTTTTGATAAGCTTATATCTAAACGTCATTTAAAAAATAAATATTTTTATCTATCATACTTGAATCTGAATAATTTTCTACTCTTTCGATTATTCTTTATAATATCTTCGTTCTCATTTGCTTCGTTTCTTCTATCTAGGCCAATAATGTTAACTGATATTCTTAACAGCAAGAATAGTATGACTAAGAAGCCGTGTAGAGATACTTCGAACATCCAGTATTTTCAACTTTTACTTAGAAAAAGAGAATCATATTCATACATTTTCATATCAGTTCGGTTACGAAGTCTAGAGGTGCCCTCGAGCGAGAGGCGGGGTCGGAAGGTGCCGTCATTCTGAGAAATTTTCATTTTTCTCCAGCGACAGTGAACGATTTTCTTCGTTTGTTTGCTCCTCACCAGCTCTTGCAACAAGAGGTTATCCCCCCCCCCCTCCCTCATTCCAATGTTGTGAATCCAACCTTCTCAGTAGTCAGTCGATCCTTCAATCATTGTGACTTCGGAACACTTCTGAAAAAGTCATTTATATCCTTTCTTTTATATCAATCATACAACATTCATGCCAATGATGTTTACTAGAAACAAAATAAATTCCTTTTGTTTGAATTGTAAGACGTTATATTCGAGCAATGACTGTTTCTAAATAATTGGCATGAAAAACGACAGTTGAATAATTTCTATCTAGATGATTTTTTCTTTCTCTACAAGAACGATTTTTATACAAATCTCATCAGAAACAGTTATAAATCATTTAGAACGAAAAGATTCTGAGTTGATTCATATTAAAATATTTGCCTACATACAAACAAATGGGTAAATATTAAAAAGTCTATAATATATTTGACAGTAATTTTTACATATCTTGATATTTGTTATAATGCATAGTGGTTTATAAAAGTTTGTTTAAACATCCTTTTTTTTCGTAGTGTGCACAATTACGAAATATTTTCATACTTGACAAATGAATCGATCTTACTCAAGTTCATTAACAACAAGTGCAGTCATATCAGATGGCACTATCCCGAAAGATACAGTTGATTCAATTCGTCTTACCAAACGTACACATCGTATGTCTGCGCCGACCATCGACTGGGATGCAGAAAAAACATTAGGTTCAGTAATTGATATCGATGTTGATGCTTTAGATGCTGAATTTGAACGACTGTCACTTGATTTTAAAAGTAAGATGAATGAATTACGTAAGAATCCGGATAACATGACTTTACGCCATACACTTACGTCGACTAAAGAAGCATTGATACGTATTAAAACTTGGTCATCATTAGTAAATACAGCTGATGGCTTAGCTATTGTCAAGAAAAGTATGGTCGAGCAACGTGAAAAAGAACTTCTCCAA